GAATTCTTATCATGAGGTGCACTCTTATCTGCTTTAGTACAGCACCAGTATTTTCAAGTCTTCACCCACTGCTGCAGGAGTGTCTCAGCCCCAGTCTCCTTCCTGTCTACTCATCAAGGATCAGTTACAGAAAATTATATTAAACATGAATTTTAGTTTAAATACTATGTAGTTCTGCATCTTGTGTTTGAAGCAGCCTCTTCTGTTCATCTATGAAATAGAAAGTAAATGTTCCCAACCTGTCTCAGACAAGCAGTGTATTTTATTTTTGCCATCTTTTGTTGGCAGGTGCAAACAAGACTTCAGACATTTGTTTCTAGCTTGCAACAGAAGACAAGTGAGATTGAGATTTTAGCTGTAAGTATTTGGCAGAAGCCTGAATTCTTTTCAAATTCTTGATTGAATTGGATAATGCAGTTGCTATCTCAAATGAACTACTGCCAGCAGCTTCACTTTAGATACCAAATGAATCTAACTTCTTGTTAAATAAGATGCATGGCATGTTTCTTTAATACTTGAAGAGTGTCTCAGATTGTGTGTATTGGACAGTTGCATAGAAGGAAATTTAGCAAGTATTTAGTTGTAAATTCTTTAGCTGTACTTAAGATAATTACTGTGGTAGATTTAGTAACATGTTCCTGCTAAGATTTGCTCTTACATTTAAACCAACAGAGCATTTGTTTGTATATAGCTTTTAGACTTTGCTGACCATGTCACAAGGGACTTGAAAATGGAATATGCTTTTCAGGAAACATAATGCCTATTTGCCTATGCCTGTTTGGAACTTTCATAATGGAATCTTTCATTAACGATTTGTGTAACATGCTTAAAACCTTGGTAAATACCCAGTTCTATCAGCACGACTGCTGCTTTGGAAATCAGAAAGTATAACTCCCTTTGGTATAGGTGATCTCTAGTTGGCAAACTGGTAATAGAACTCTGTTAAGTATTGGTTTCTTGATATTTTTACAGGTAGATCTGCCAAAAGCAACTTTGATACACTTCTTATCATTAGAGGTAAGCAATTAATACTGTTATTAAAACTCTAATGGAACAATACATGATAAATTCTGTTCCTAATTAAGTGGAGTGTGAAATTGCCCCATTGTAGTTTTTTCTCCTTCAAGGAGTTTGAATTAGATTTTAGAACTTGAAAAGAGTTTTTTTACCCAGGGAGCTTGGCTGAGGCTAGACAAAAATGTTTTTGTCAAAAGCCCAAGCAATAAAAGACACAATTAGGAAATCCTAACCCAAAGCTCTGTTTGTTTTTCCCCAAGACCAGTGAACAAAAATTGTCTTACTGCTCATTTTCAGAAACCATTAAAAAAATGAAAAGCAGTTTCAACAAGGTGTTCCTAGAAGCTGTTAGTGAATGAGGACCTGAAAAACAGGCAATTGTTTTGAGTAGGTGAAACATCTTTTAGTAAAGCAAAGATAGAAAGGGGATATGTAAATCTTAACACTGACACCTTTAACGACTCAAACTACTCGATGAGGTGAAAAAAAAACCACCAAAGACAAAGCTTTTTTCTTTCCTCCAATGATGGCAGTAACTTTAAAGTCAGAACTTAGTACTGGAGGGATGGATGCCTCCCCACCCTTCAAAAGAACAAACTCAAGAATGGCATCCTGCCTCTAAGTGGATTTAGTACCTTCGTACCTTACATCTGCTGCTCTGAAGCAGTGCTTGGCTGGTTATCAGAACCCAGCGGAATATTTTAAAACATTTTCAAAATACTTAATTTTATCTAGTCTGTCCAGACCATGAAGACAGTTTATCGCCTTTTATTTTAAAAGTACCTGATCACCTTGCATCAGTCACTGTTGACTATAGCACAGTTCTCATTCTATCCAGCAATGCAAAACTAGTAGAGCCCTTTTCATTGGTTATACTTTTTTCTTTTTATGGCTAAACTATCTGTGTTAAGAAACTGAGTACTAAATTCTTAAATTTTCTTTTAAAAAAATAAAAAATCAAGTTGGACATGTTGTTATATATATGAATTTTGTCTGAAACCTGTTTAATTAAGGAGCATTGACATTACATCATGTTCTTGCCAAAGAATGAATCTTACTGGGAGAAGTATTTTCTTCACGAGAGAATATAAGACTGTACTGTTGTTCCTTGACAATTTTTTTCTTAGTTTGATGGAGATAAACAAGCCTTTGATGCTACTGTGGGACAACTGATGTCACGATGGCCAAAACAGAGATGTTCGTACTTACAAGCAATTTGTGATGAAATTTACAATATCAAAATGGAAAAGAGGTAAATTGATTTAGCTCTTTGAGGTACACAAAGCATCTCCATTACTTCTGCATTCAAACTTTACCAAATAAGCTGTTCTTCATTTGTCCTCCCCTTTCCCTCTCCCTGAACAAAAAAGGAAATATTCAGGAAATGTGCAGTTCCTTGAGTACTATGGGAAGAGTTTGCTGATCATTTAATCCTCACTTACTGTAAAATGTAAATTCTTCATTTTTATACACCTTTTCAAGAAATTATAAAATATATTCCCACAGTGACCCCATTTGCTGCTTGTTCTTAAAACTGAGTAGCAAACAACTATATACATTCAGATATACTGCTATTCTACTACGTAATCCTGACGGGAGCAACTCTGCTTGCCTTCCTGCTTTGAAGGAAACGGAGGGAATCCGGCACAGCTCACAGACTACCCAGCTTTAAGCAGACATGATGCATGCTCTCCCCACATGTACAGTAAAGTCTGTTTCTGTTTTCCAAGTATAAGAACATTTTATGTTCCACTCGTAGTCTCCTTGTTGGGTTCTGGCAAGGCTGAAACAGATAGTCTGGCCACATCCAATTTTAAGCCTCTAATTGCATTTATTAGTACAGTTAAGTGAGACCTGGGTATTTATATCCTATTGTGGGTTTCATTTATAACATGTTTTCTTAAACCACTGTTCAGCTTGAAGGTACTACTTAACCTTTAAATGAGACAAAAAATTTACTTTGATTCCTTTTTCCTAGAGATGCACCAAAATTGCTTCAGGTTTGCTAATTTTTACTAAGGCAACTAAGTATCAATCAAAACTTTTTATTCATGGGGCTCACAAGGCTCTGAGCAAACATACCAAATTACTACTGACAAAATAGTCTTTCATACAATGTTGGGTGTGAATGTAATGCAGTCCTGACAGAGTCTTCCCATTTGCTGCCTGTGTGCAGAACACTGCTTAGGCAATAAGCCTTCAGGCCACTAAATGAAAACTATACAGGCTAGATACATGGGACAGAAAGTGACAGGGAAAATTGCAGTCACAGCCAAAGGAACTAGACTTACTGCTTTTCTAGTCAATCTTAGCAATAAGCTAACAGCAAAGATTTGCCACAGGTATTGTAGCTTTTGAACCTGCAGTTTCAAAGATTAAAAAGTCTCTTTTCTTCCCTCTGCAGGGTTCCTGCACTTATCCTGTACAGTTACCGAGATGAATACAAGGTTTTGTTTTAGTCTTCGAAGCATCTTTTTGGAATGCTTTTACTAACAGGCAACAGTGTTTTGTCAAAAGGAATTTCAAAAAGTGGTCATAATGCAAGACAGGCAACTGATGCCTTTTTATGTGTCCAGACTGAATTTCATGTAAGGTAAAACTGTAAATTTATGTCAAAAAGTGGAAATAAATATTTTATAGGCAATTAAGGATCAAGTCTGACTACAGCCACAGATGTGTATTAGCATGTATTTTTTGCCCCTTATGCCACAAGACATTATCAGCAGGTTTAAAACTACTTTTTTTTTTAATACAGTTTCAGAATGCCTTTTGTACCAACATGCAAAAGTAGTACTGAAATGAGAACCTCAGTTCAAGGATTAGAGGGGATGAATTATTTTTCAACTCTTAATTTTTAAACCTTTTTGAAGAAGGGTTTTTATGTAATAAAATGTTTGGCTACTGAGCTTTATTGATAAATGTTTTACAAGTTTTTTGTTTTGTTGTTTTTTAAACCTAGTATTTTAATTTCTATATAAAAGATGGTAGATTTCAAGCTGAGAGAGTTGATGCAAGCCTTGCTGCCTATACTTGTCCTGCCTGTACTGCTGCAGTCAAATCAAGCAGCAGCTTCCTGGGAGATGAAGACCTGATACAGGTTGTTTCAGACACAGACCCCAAAAAACCTAAACTTAAGACTTCTAAGAGAAACAGTAACCTGCATGTGCTAGATGATGGGAATTTTGTCATTCTAATCTTGGAGTGAAACTGTAACAACTCCATCAGGAAAGGTGAAGCTGAGCAAATCCAGAGGAGTGTTACAGCTACTATGGTTAACTTGGTGTTGCAGTTCACAGCAAACTACTTCTCATACTGGAGTGAATATGCAGAAAAGTTAGGGATTTCTAGAAGTATAGTGGTGGTTACCATCCCTCCCCACCTTCTCTACCTGGTACCTTCTGTTTAAATAGCTTATTCCTGCCTCTAACCCAAATGATGGCCTTTAGCACTGCAGGCTCACTGCATTACAAAGCACTTGGTTTTCTTGCCCTTTTACTGGAGTAAATAGGAAGACAAAGTGCAAGTATGTAAAGAGGTAACTTGAAAGACAAAACCAAGAGCTTCTGAGAACTGTGAAAGCTGAAACAGTAGCATCAAGGTAGCCGGTGCTAAAGGCACAGGTACCTGTAGCAGTCCTGGCCCTTCACCAAGACAAGTCACATCAGTCACTACAACCAAATCCATTTCTCATTGTGTTTAATAGGAACAATTAAGTATTCACCTTTTACATCTGCTCATACAAAGGAACTACTTTAAGATGTGAAGTATGGGGAAATTCAGATCTCTGAATATACTGAAAGATGAAGCTTTAAAAAAAAAAAGTTTAGGTGACATGAACATTTTTAAGTCATGTCTGAAGGGAACATGAGAGTCTTGCCCTCCCCCCACCCTGAGCCAGGCTCATCACAGCGGGATCAGCATGGAGCAAGGCACTGCCTGGCTCTGCAAGAGCTCAGGCACTGTGCTGGCTGCCTTAGGGGTATCTGCACTGCATCATAAGACATGTCCCTCAAAGTAAGACAGAAACAGGAAAGCTGCTTTTCCTGACAGTATGTTGGCACCTGCTTTCCCTAGTACTGCTGAGGCTTATCTTTAAAAACTCTGGGCATCTATCACAGACTCCTGCTCCAGTCTCTCTTTGCTCCTGGTATGGTGCATTTCCCTTCACCCTGTGTTTCCCCCAAACAGGTTTTGCACTGCCCACTTGTATAACACAAAACAAATAGCAGTGTAAGTACAAAACTAGTTGGTAGCTGAGTGTAAAGCTATTTCAGTATAAACCTGTAAATACTTCTGCTATACAACAGTCCACAGAAAGCACCTTGCTTTCAGTTTAAACAAAATTACTGATTACATCCCAGTATCCTGCTGGAAGGAAAGCCAAAGACAAGTGGTAACTCAAAAAGAAATGGACTTTGCTTTGAGCAAGGATCAAGTCTGTTACAATGACAGCAGGACATTCTTCCATCACTGTGTTGCTTTACTCTTCTTGGTTTTGCTTTTCTTATCTTTTTTCTTCAAGCCATCCATGTTAGCTCTCAGCAAATTTGAATATGCCTGAAACAACAATTGGAACCATTAAAAGAACAAATGCATAAATGACAATATACTAGAGGTAACATTTTATATAATGCTAAAGGAAAGGTATCTGTATTTTCTCAGAGATAGATGCTTTTACACCCTACTCTGGGAAACTTGTTCCTAAAGCAATGCGGAAAGTTACATAAAATACAATGGGATTTTTTTTAAAACAAATACAAATATGGGTAGTCTTAGATTAATCTGTATGGCAGTTCAGCACTGAATCAACCCATTCACAGCTGTGCAATGCTTCCTCCTGACCCCTCCCCAACACCTACAGAAAAGGAAGATGAAAGGCATACAAAACTTACCATCTGGAATTTATTTACTTCCTTTGAACTCACCTACAAAAGCAATACTGGAGGTTAATCGAGAAAACATTGCCTTTTATTAAAAACCAAGTATCTTTATGTGTTTACTCACTCGTGACCATCTAGTCTACTTATCAACAGGTTGATGAACCTGTCACATTCAGTGATAGGTAGACTGTACTGACATGTCAGAGGACCTCACCAATTTAGAATCCTCTGGACACCATTTGTCCCAAATCAGTGTTTTCAAACAGGAAGAATGTGAAGAAAACATTATAAGGAAGGTTTCATTTACTTGTAGGGCCATAAAAATATGTTGTAGCCCAAATTCTCTCTACCATTTCTTTAACTATCATTTTTCCTTGGGTTACATCACAGTCAGCTGAAGCCTTTCCCAGTCTTTCATTCAAAGTAAACACACATCAGGTTTTCAACTTTTAGTTAACATTTTCTGAAATACAAACAGCTCTGTAAATGAGGAAAAAACAATAGGTATGCTAAGCAAGATGAAGGCTTTGAAGAGTCTAGCAATGTCCACACATTCTTGCCAGGAAACAAGGATCCCTTTCCTGCTGTTTCACAGCCTGGGAACATCCAGTTCTTTCCTGGGTTGTAAGAACCTCCAGTAATTCCATCATGGTCTATAGGAAACTACCTCTTTGTCACCTGAGGCTTGAGTGTATGTCTGCAAGACCTTTATTCTCCTTGGAATCACACCATTTGTCCTCATACTGCAAGTTTCCTTTTTGCCTGTCTCCTCTTTCCCCTCCAAACAATTCCACCTGGCTCAAAACACAATAGCCAAGGTTGCTGAAAACAAGCAGGATCCCTTTCTGCTGTCCTGCCATGCCCTTCTGAAGCAAAATCCAGTGTACAGAGCAACACTATGAACAATGGTTTAATCTGTAATGCTAGTATAAGCCTTAAGACTAAACGTAACTGCAACACCAACAGCCCAGCTTCAGCAGTGTGTGTAGCTACCATATGGTTTCTCTGGAATTAAGAGGGTAGTTACTTCACTTAAAATATGTGGCATTATACAAAAGACAAGTAGGACCACTAATCTTTCTAACACAAAGTTATCACTTACCACTGTGCTAATTTTCTTCTTTCCATCAGTTGCTCTTAGCAGACACTTATTGTCTGCCGGCTCAAAAGTTTCTGCGTGGCCTTTGCGTGGGACTGGTTTTGTTCGGCCATCGTCTGTATTGAGAGACAGAGAAGGTTTATTCATTTAATGTTTATTCACTAAATGTGTTTATTCACTAAAATCACTGGATGCTTCATGAGATGTTAAGAATTGCACATTAGAAGATGTGTAAAACACCTTGGAATTTAAGAACATCTGAACTGACACTGCTGCCAAATTGTTCACAGACCCTTCCTCTGTAGTTCCAGAAGGATCTGTCCCATAAACTGCAACTGCCAGGGAAAAGAATATAAATCCTTCCCCTGACATGCTGCGGGAACTGCCTCCTTCAGCAGCAGTGTGTTTAGCTGCCCATCCAGCTGCAGCCTAGGACACTTCCCAAGTAGTGCCAGCTAGGCAGAAACCAGAGAAACGTAATATACAAAAACAATACTAGAGAAATCTATGGATTCCAATTATTGTTTAATAATTAGAAAGCCTCAGTATTTCCTGCAGTTTGAAATACAGTCTTAACCTCAAGGTTATTGTTACTGCATCTAAGATGACCGATTTGTCCATAAGCTACTCTTGTCTTCAGATACTCTGAATTACAGCTGCATATTTTAAAACACATGCTAACAACTGGGATGATCACCTCTTTAGAATCACAGAATCGTTTGGGTTGGAAACAACCTTTAGGATCGTCAGGCCAAGCCCTTAACCTGCACGAAGGGAATCAAAACTTCACCCAGTAACAGACGCGAAACTTACATTTTTTCAGCGTTATGAAAACACTCCCCGAAGTTCTGCACTTCTGAAAGAGCCTGGTAAGTTCTGTCAGGAACTGCAAGCGAGAAAGACCCCGTTCCTGGCTGGAGGCCGCCAGGCAGGCGTCCCCGTCACCCCGGCCCCGCCGGGCCCTCCCAGCCCGAGGGAACACGCACCAGAGCTCCCGCCCCACC